ATCATAAGTCAATTAAAGCTAGATCAGTATGGAAAACCCGGAAGCACTGGACGTCCGTTTCATTCTATTGGGGAACTGCTCAGCAGTGTACATCCTCAATCCCGCCTCGTGAGATTCTGTTGAAGATTCCCACAATAGGACAAAATAGCCGTCCAGTGCTACGAAGTTTTTCATGGTGGTCTAGCTTCTATTGACTCATGATCTCAACTACTAAAATTAAACATTTACATTTATTTTAAAATTACTATAATATCCACAAAACCCCTTCTGAAAATGTTTAATTCAAAATAGTTGAATATAATTTATCGCTCAGTTATATACACTTGAATAGGATCTGGTTATTTGAAGTGGTTTCATTCACTTTAAACTAATAATAATAACGTTCTAGAAATTTGTAGAAAATCTATGTCAGATTACAGACACGATCAGATTGATATGAAATGTTTGCTATGTAATCACATAAATGGGATACTTTAGTTTCCATTTATTGTGAAAAGATTTGATTTCTCACTGAACATTTGTAACTGAATTGATAATAATATAAAGTAATGAAATATATGATGTAAGATGACTTCCCAATATAAAACTATTGTTTATACATTTTATGTTCTACAACTAACTAATACTCTTAGATAAGCTTAAGTACTAAAAAACAGGCACCAAGGTCTTGAATGATTGATACTCTATGCTTGACGGTTAGTCTAATAATAATTAGCTCTGAACGAAGAGGAAGAACACAAAACTGATGGTCACTAGTCCAAGATAGTTATTTTATTTCATCCATTCATTTATATACATGCAAGACCAAGATCACGTAGCAGACCGATTGGGTAACAGTATCCACGCAGAAAATGGATTACTGAGTACACAAATAATTGGTCCTAGTTTATGAGGACAATATACTATATCAACGAATTTATGGTTCAAATAAAAGCTTAGAGCTAGGGTAATAAGAAAATAGTAAAACCAAATTACTCAATAAAAATTGAATCAATATATATGAATAAAACTGTAGAAAGTTTTCACTTTATAGTTAAACCATCCCTTGAATATCTGAGTTACTTGTTCTTGCCATCTAGATATTTCAACAAGTTATGTGTTTTCTAGTCTATTTTAATACATCATTATGCCTATTAGTCGCATAACCTATTTAGGTGCGTTTATTAAAAGTCTACAACATTTCATTGTACAAGTTATAAAAGAGCCCGATCAATGACATCGTAGTTGCTGGCAAATATGTATCGAAAAGAATATAAATTATTCAAATATCGATTCTTGAACTGCTAACATCTAACTGGCGACCATTCAAGATTTATCATCAGGATCAACCAAGAAGTAAGAAAAGGAAACTTGTTGAAATACTTTATGCTGAGAAATCTATATTGTACCAAAATAGTAATATTGAATAAAGCCATTAATAATAGTAATAATATAATATAATACAAAATATATCATAAAAATAAACTCAACAAACACAGAGTTGTCATTAATAATAATAATAATAATAATAATAATAATAATAATAATAATAATAATAATAATAATAATATATCAAGTAATAAGATATATCAGAAGGGGTTTTTGTGGATATTATAATAATTTCAATAGTTGAGATCATGAGTCAATTGAAGCTAGACCATTATGGAAGAAACACCCATCCAGTTCTTCCAGGTTTTCCATGTTGGTCTAGCTTTAATTGACTTATAATCTGAACTATTGAAATTAATAAGATATACATAAAAATCCTAGAAAGTTGTTATTCAATGAGTTTTCGCATGGAAAACATTACATATTGACTATGAAAACAAAGTACATGAAACAATTTAGGCCTTGACACTTATACATTGTTTATTTGTATCATTTCAAAATAGTGATTAATAACTTTACAATTATTTAAAGTTACTACTTTGATTGATACCTGTCGTTTTATTCTAAAAACAATTTTCTTATTGGATACAAGTGAACTACTTGTATTTTTCAAGAGTTATAATTTGACCAATGGAGTTATTCCGTGTCAGGTAGAGATAGGTATCTACCTCAATACAATGGAAGATGGTCGCACAATTTCGTGGATTGGTTGAAGTTAGACATTAACACCGTTGTATGCCAGCCAACTCAGTGGTTTGGTAGGTTAAGTGTTCGCACACGAGACTGAAGGCTCTGGGTTCGAATCCCGCTAACGAGATCGTGGATGCGCACTTTTGAGGAGTCCCACAGTAGGACGAAATAGCCGTCCAGTGCTTTTAGGTTTTCAGTGGTGTTCTAACATCAATCGGTTCATGATCTCAATCAATAACTTAATAATCTCCACAACCATATACTGATATAAATATTTTGTTTGATTTTTCGTAAACTTTCTTTTCTGTTTAGTTTTTTGTCTATGCTCCCTTTGTTTTTAACCTTATTTTAATGATGTAATTCACTTACAAACACATCTACAACGATCTATCATAGAATATAGATATCTTCTTGAAGGTTTTGCATGTATTTTGTTATGCAAGCTTCATGGGCACCCGGGCAGTATCACAGCCCTCACACATATCGAATGAGATTTGTGTGGCGCATATGTATTTGGTGCCTCTTTGTACCAATATCTGTGTGTTAAAATAAAATAAATAATGCTTCATGGATAATAATAATAAATGTCTGTTCAGCATCATTTATGTAATATGTTCACCTCTTGCGCTACCAAGAACAGCATAAACGTTTCATAATTGTGAATGTTCATGATTTGACCTTGATCTTTAAAAAAAAAATTATTATTTTGTTTTGATAATTTGAGTTCAATAGTGAAATGAACGGAACAAATATTCTTTTCGATTTGTTTTGTTTCTTCTTTGGTTATTTTCTATTCTTCATTCATTAGTGACGTCATCATTTTTCTTTGATCATTTATTAATTAATTAATTAATTTAATAATTATTATTTTCTATAACAAAATAGATTAAAGTATTCCTTTAATTATATTTCCTTGTTCAGGTCATGTAGTTATAAGTGGAAATATTCATAATTTAAGTGTATTTATACCTAGTTATTATGGTAGCATACTCTTGTTGTGTATTCATTATGTATATATCTACATGTATATTTGTTTACATTGTTTACATCTTCGGATACTTTCATGTTGAATTGATCTTATCATTATAAATTCTCTTTTTTTATAATATAGGATATAATATGTGTTACCTTTATTAAAAGATTTCACTTTATTGCTACTTTTATCTTTAAGGGACGGTAAACATTTTGAAATAGTGAAAAAGATTTGTAGCCTAGATGGATTGTTTTGATTTTATTTTTTATTTGAACACGTAGTTATTGGTACAATGAGGCACCAAATACATATGCGCCATACAAATCTCATTCGATATTTGTGAGGGCTGTGATACTGCCCGGGTGCCCAAACCGAAACAGGTGGTTTTCTTAGGGGACCACACCCGGAGCCTTCGACCTGAAGGTCTGATCCACAAGGCAATGGAGCATCGTAAGGAGATGCAGTCCCATGGTAGCTGGTGACCAACGATTGGTTCATATGCCATTTGTTCCTTCAGGATACTGGAGCCCATGTGCACCGTCGGTTTGGAATCAGGGTTTCCAACTCCCCTAGGTGGACTCTCCATGTCCACCAACCCGGTTGAAGCACCGGACATTCGCTTTTCGTCCTCTCAATTTCGTAAACAACACCCCCGCCACGAGAAGGCAATGAGTAGGACTTCCCTGGCAGAGGCTATATACACGTGGCCGTGTGAGAGCATTTCGAGATGGAGAGCGGACTCTCCCCACTCTCGGCCGTACCAGGGCATTTGGGGGCCTAGGTTTTTATATTTTCAGAGTTTTCAATATCGTGTTCTGAACAACACCAGTGTCTGCTTCATGCATAAGTTAGTTGCTTAGTTATTCCACCAGTCTTAATTCGTTTTTTTTCTGATAGTTTTGTTTATGATTGGTTGTTTTCGTAGGCTTTGCTATTTTCAGTTGCTCATCTTTGCATGTTCACTATCTGACCATGTGGTTGACTAAGTTTCTTCGTAAAGATTGATAGATCGGATCTATATTAATATATCTATTGATTCCCGTTTAATCTGAATACTATACTTCTAGAAATTCTGTAATTCTATTACGGTTTCAGTTATCCAGAATTCCGATGGTTTTTTTTTTCAATCTCGCTTACAGAAGAAAACATCACAAATAGAAACTGTAATGGATTGATTGATTGTAAAGTTCATGAACTTATTAGTAGATCATTGTCCTTTATTTAAGTAGTAAATATTATTTTTAAAATTGATTATTATTCGTTCAATAGGATTTATTTTATTACACTATATTCATAAATTTTTGAATACCTTGGCGGTGGTAAGGTTTTGTAAATATAATGCAATTCATGTATATAGAAATCTTACAGTGAATATCAGTTCCCTGAAGGTTGTAGGTAGCATCTTGATGCAGTGAATTCCGAACAGTGTGAAACTCACGTTAACTAGGCTTTCGAGCAAACTGCTTCTAACTAGGTCGCATCATCGTTTTACGAAAGATAGTGTTTATTGCATAATGAATAAATAGAATTAAATATTCAGCTTACCTTACACTTTCACTGGGTCAGAATTACTCACAATGACACAGATATATTCATTATTTATCTTATTCTAGATCTTGAGTTCTAACGTTTTTTCATGAATACCTTGTCATCTTGTTGGTTTTGTCTCTGTACTAATTCAGTATATGACTTTGGACGAACGCATATTTTTACTGAACTCTACGTTGATTATGACTGGTTAACTTCCACTGGTAACTAGAATCATTGTGTAAAACACCTTCAACTCTCCAATACAACTGTGTAAGACTACATTTCCTCCTTAGGCTGTAATGAAACTTAACTTATTATTTAAGTCTATACATATACAGACTTATTTCTAATCTTTTTATTGTTTCAATATTCACTTCAGTTTCTCGCTTTTTAGTCCATTTCTCTTTATTTTTTTCCATTCATTTTCTTCCTCTTCTAGGTTAACAGAAGTTTATGGAAGTAATGAACATACAAGTGGTTATGCATGGTGTCCAAATACACACGTAGAGGATGGTTTACGTGAATGGATTCAAGCAGAATTTTCTCATTTAGTCATTATTAGTGTTATATTTACAGCTGGGCGTGGTGATGGAAATGTGAGTTGTTTTTTTCTCCATTCATTTCCTTTTTCAGTATTAGTGTTTTTAGTAGTGATTAGAAAGCTTTATGATTTTTAAAATATCCTTTCCAGCTCTTTTCAGTTGTTATTCATCCTTTACATATCTGCTTCTATTTCCCGACGTAATGTGTTCTTTGGCCTTCCTCTTTTCCACTTCCTTTCACGATTCTAAGTTAGGGCTTGCCTCGTGATGCAGTTTGATGATTTGCGTAATGTATGTCCTATCGATTTCCATCGTGTTTTCCTAATTTCCTCTTCATCTGGAATCTGGTTTTTTCTCTCCCACAGAAGGCTGTTGCTGATTGTATCCGGTCAATAGATGTTGAGTATCTTGTGTAGACAATTGTTTATAAATACTTGTACCTTCTTGATGATGGTTGTAGTAGTTCTCGAAGTTTCATCTCCATACAGTAGAACTGTGTTGACGTTGGTATTGAAGATTGTGACTTTGATATTGGTTGAGAGACAGTTGTTTTGATTTCCGTATATTCTTCAATTGTTGGAACGCTGTTCTTGCTTTGTCAATCCCTCGCCTTTACATTTGCATCAGATCCTCCTTGTTCATCAATGATAGAACAATGGTGACTGGATATCCTTAATTGTGAAACTAGGGTTACATGCTGCTTTAGAAATAATCAATAATCTTTTGTAGATTATAATATACACCTTATTTGACAAGTACTAACTAATATGAAATTCAGATCAAAGCGGATTTTCAATCGATTGATTACTTTTTTTTTAATCAAACAATTTCATGTCAAAATTTGTTTCAGTTTACCCATACACACATAGTAACAATGATATCATGAAGTCTTGAAGTATTAAACTATCTATTCATCATTAAATTTATTTTATTCCAATTTAGTCAATAAACAGTTATTATTCATAAGACAACGTATTTCATACTGTGAAAATACATATAAGTGAATTTTGTAGCCAGGTGTTAACATGTTTGTCTATGGCTTGTTGTTAAGGTGTTTTTAACACCTATTTTATTATTATTATTATCATCATCATTATTGTCAGTTTTTTTCTCTCGGTGTATGTTTCACGAATAAATAGTCAATTGGTAAAGTAATCAGTGTGAAAAGAAAGAGCACAGATTTTCTTCTGTTTCTTTTCTTCAAAATATTGTTTGTATACAGCATTTGTTTACATTCATATGTTAAATGAAATAATTGTATTTGTCTTTCTTTCTTTCTCTCAACTCAATTTACTAATTTGGTTGATGTCCGGAGAAAATATTGGTTTATAGTCGCCATAGTTCGTTTTAATGGCGTTTTTCTTAGTTTTTTTTTTATCTACATAGAAATTTCAAATACATTGTTTTAATTTGAGTTCTATGAAGAAATTTTACTAAATCTGAGTCTGAGTAATGTTCCATTAAGAGTAGAAGATACTCGTAAGCTCTTAGTATTTGACCACAGATACTTTAGAAATATTGCTGGGATCACCGGGTAAGTAATCGTGAGGTTAGACGCGCAGGGTATTAGCAAATGATGGTAATCAGTTGATGAGGTTGTGAATTTTGATCGACTGAGATGGTTGGGTCACGTGTTGCGTATGCCTGAACACTGATTACCACGACACACAATGCTGACTAGTGTAGGGGATTGTTGGAAGAAAGTTAATGTCGGCCAAACCAAAACATGACATCAGTGATTGAAGTGACTAACTTGTGGTGTAATCCATGTTGGTAGATGCAGATTAGTTGGTTGGTGTGTGTGTGACTATCGTAAGGAGTGGTTGTAGACTGTGTGTGACATTATGGAGAATCGATCACAATGGCGTAGGTGTATGCATTTTCTTAAACTATGAGATCGAAATTTCTTTATATGTTTCTTTCTCATAACTAATTTTTTCTTTCTGTACTATATGCAATCTATATTTGTTACATTACTATCATTGAAATGACCAACTATGTGAATTTGGTGTTGATGTTTTTGTGCTAATGAGGTGTGGCAGCTTGTACCGATGCATATATGTGCCTGGTCCTACGTTGTAACTGACTGACTGAGTAATGTTCCCTGTCTTATAGATTTTGAAGTTTGTGTATAAATTCGATGATAGTGATGTTGAGCGCATCAATTGTTTGTTTGATACAACTGAAAATTTATTGAGTTATTCAACTCTGTAGACCCAACTAGACAGGGGAAATCTGCCAAGAAAATGTAATATTTGTGACTTGAAACTGATGAATTTAGTTTGTATATGCTTATGTTTTTGTGTCATAGTATTTTAGTTCATTGATTGTTACCATAGTATCTTCTGTTTGTAGATTATGGTTAATTAACTCTATTGGTAACAAGTTGACCCCAGTTGAAGATAGCTTTGAAAACCAGGGACAGCTGAACAGCTCTTCCTAGCAGTACGTACTCACAACTCAATCAGGGATTAAACCCAGGATCTTCAGACCTAGTAGTGAATGCTTACTATTCGAAACAATAGATAAGCCACCAATGTTGAAGTTTCAAATTTAATCAGTTTGCGATATAGCATGATGTTTGTCAAACGCCATTAGTGACTACTATTCTACTCCCGATGTTTTTAAGCTCGACTGATCAAGACTTTTCACTAGAACTTCGGGAATATTTTGAAGTAGGTCACTAGCGTGCACTACTCAAGAGTCTCTATATTGGGACTAAGTACCTATTCAACAAATTACATGGTAATGATTCCCTCATGGCATTTGTTATTTTCATTGGTTTATTATTATTACATGTTCTTTGAGAATTCTGTTTCTCAAGGTCATACTTGGTTACTACATATATAGAATTGCTTTATATCATGTTTACCTCAGCATCGCTGCCTTCTTTCTGGGTTCCGTCTCTAGAACTTATTTTCAAAGCGTTGTATTTCTCGTTCACCACTCTATCAAATTTGCAATGGATTCCATTCCTATTAGAATTATTTCAATCTTTACTAAATAATAATTAGTGTAAGCTTAATCAAATCAAATCGAGAGATAAAATAGATTCAATGTAATAACAATAATAGTAAAATAAGTCATAATAATATTAATATATTATTGTATAAACCCAAAACGGAAGCAACCATAGTTATACTATCAACATAAATCTATTTCCCTTTAATAGTCATAGTAATATAATATTGTACACGTAAATCATGTATGCTTTGCTTTGATTTCTTTTTCGTGAGACACAATGAACTAGACAGGGAAGCTGTAAAATTTCCATGCTTTTTCCCTATTTTATACATGTTTCGTTTAACTTTGAATTGTGCAAGTGTATTTGTATAAATGTGTGTGTGTATGTACGTGCGTAGAACAATGAACTGCTGTACGTGTTATACCTACGGTTTATTTGTTAACGATTGCACATAGAATACGTAAACTACTCATTAGTAGGCATATTCTTATGGGACTAATTGTTCTTATAAATTGTAGCAGTCAGTACTATGTGAAGCCCACATAAGCTATTCTAGCTTCTGGACTGACTAATTTATTCATTCTCGTGAAGTCACGTTTTGACCCTGTCACTCATTTGCTTATTAACCCTGACTGTTTTTATATGATTGTATATGTGTTAATTACTTACCCTATCCACGATTTGCCTATAACTTCTTTTTGTCTGAACATAAATATTGAGTCACGATTGATCAAATCGAGTTGGCTCACTCGACTTCTGCATTGAGTATCATTTCATTTCGTTTCGCTTTCTTCTCTTTGTTTTCTTAACTCCGTTTTTATCATCGTCTGTTTGTACCAACGATTGTACGAAATTTACGTGTTCAAACTTCATTCTCGTATGATTTATTTAATCCCATTATTCACTAATGCGATTTAAGTGGATGATTATATACGAGGGTAGCCGAGATGTATATTTCGGTAAAAATTATCATACGATCTAACTGGAGTTATATGCAGGGACACCATATTGTTGAGCCCGTCGATAACCTTTTCAGTAACATTATCCGATCTAATTGCAGTCAGATATAGGGCCACTAAAAAAAATCAATGATTTCTTTTTTCTCCTGGTCATAATACCAAGTAATTAATTAAAGTAGCTGAATTTTTTTTGTGTAACTATCCGTTTATTTATAAATCACTTTCAACATATGGGAGGTAATAATTACTCACTGATGCGGCTAGGTGATTAACATCCCACATATCACACGTAGATTGAATTTCAAGAGGAGGATCATTGTGTTCAAATTCACAACGGTTTAAATGTAAACCACTGGCCCCCAAGAATTGAAGGTTCTGGGTTCAACCACAGTACATTTGTGTATGATGGATGTATAGTGCTAATAGGTCTCAACTTAGAATGAAACATTAGCTATCTACTGCCTCATTTATTTTCATCAGTTCTTCCTTTAATATTTCAGTTCATATAACTAAATTTATCTCCAAGATTAAAATTTATCTTGGATCATAATTGATAATTATCTTATCACAAAACAAACAAACAAATGAGAATTATTACACCAACTGTTTTTATTCAGTCGGATGTGTTTAATTATTGTTATGTATGTGTATATAAATAGGGTATAGAGATAGATAGCTATCTCTATATACACTAAATAGATAAGTTTTGATTGACAATTACTCGTAATTAGTCTAATCTGTCTGAAAAACAACTGTTAACGCGATGTAAATAAAACACTTAATACTCAGTTATGAATTACAATGTTTATTATTAAAGTTTAAAACCAAATTTTCTTGCTTTGATTAACTCGTTGTTAAAGATTACTATTGAAGCCAGTTAAATATTTCAATGTCTATTAACCTTACCAATGATCGTTTGAAATAAAATTGTATATTTAGAGGTCTCAACGAACTTCATCAATCATCACAATAAGCAATTATTACTCACATTTCTTGATTAAGTTACTCTATTCTAAGTGATTCTCACCTTAGATTGTGGATTTCTCAAGCACTTTTGGACAATATAGTGAATGAATATTAAAGTTATTTTCAATTGTTAAGAGACTGGTGATAATATCCTTGAATACGAG